TTTGTATTCTGCCTCCAGTAATTCCAAGAAATTCTCTTCCTCTGGAAAATTTCTTGATTCTTTATTTTGGGAGCTTGCTGAAGTTATTATGGTCTACCTCTTTATGTGATTTGATATTGACCATTGCCTCAGAGCCATCAATAAGTTATACTTATTTATTTTATGTTTGCTTACTGTGTCCTAGCTTCTTGTTTTGTTTTGTTTCAATATGCCCGAACAGTCTGCTTGTGTGAGGTAGCCCAATCACTGGCGCCCCTGAAGCTCCAACGTCCTGCCACCAGGTGGCCAGAACTGCCACTAAGTATATGAGCCCAGGAGTCCATCCACTCCTCCTGTATGGATCCAGGTCAGGTGTCCAGGTAGTCAGCCACCAAGTGTGTGGTGCAGGTTCTCACCTACAGTCCTAGACAGGCATGGGTGACTGGTGTAGGCACAGGCATCTGGGTGCAGCAGAGGGTCACATGCTGAGGGAGGCAGGGGGCCAATGACTGCCCTGAGTGTCCAGGAGGAAAACGTGTCCCTGTTCCCTACAGCATATAGATGTGTGGGTTTTGCAACTGGACTATGAGCACCCAGTGCTGTTGGCTGTAAGGACTGGGGGACACCTCTTATTCTTGGGCCCCTATCACAGGTGGCTAGGTGGCACTTGTAGAGCCACCAGTCCTCAGGCCCCTGATGTGGGTAAGTGAAACCCTGCTTAAAGGGCAGAGCAGTGTCAAATGTCACAAACCTGCTACTTCACAGCTGAAACAGTTGAAGTTAGACTTCAGGATATACACTGTTGTACTGTGGTAATGAGGGCCTACACTGTTGAAATGGGCCCACACAAGTCTCTGCAGGGGAAAAGGCACTCAAAGTCCGTGGACCCCTTATACCTGTGCCTAGACAAAGGAGCTGTGCCTACCTTGAGTTCCTGGCTTAGGGGAGCCAGCAGATTATTTTTTTCCCCTGTTGGTTAATTTGTTCCTTCTCCAAGGTCAGGAGAATGGCTCAGGGCACCTGATGGGTCTTACTTCCAGACCAGGGGACTTGGCAATCACTGAAGCTGTCCTGGACCCAGTGCAGAGCATGGAGCAGGGAGGTAAATAGGAGAGGTTTTTCCCAAAGTGGGGTATTTTTGATCCGCACAGTAGGCCAGATGCAAGTACTTATCTTTCGAAAATTGAGGGCTGCTTCTCACTGGTTCTGGATGACCAAGCAGACTTTCTGCCACTGGGTCTCTCCCAATATGGAAAATGCCTCCTGAGCACTGCTGCTTGCCTCACTGCGCACCATGAGCTGATCCAGCCTGAAGGGCTCCAACTCCCTCCAGGTCAGATCTGGCAGCTCCTTGCTGCTTCTGAACTGTCTCTCTCCCTCCCTCTGCCACTCAGTCTGATTCTTCAACCTTGCCTTTGATGTTCAGGGCTCCTAGGTTGTCATGTATAATTGATTCACTTGTTTTTTCAGGTTTTTATTGTAAGAGGGACCACAGGAAGCATCTGACCACTCCGCCATCTTGGCCCTGCCTCCTCTACCCCACAATTTGAAACTGCACTTTCTTTTCAAGTGCACATGGAGCAGTTACCAAAATGCTGGGCCACAAGAAATTTCAATGAATTGAAGTTGTAGCCTATATCTTCTGACAAGAGTGGTATATCACTCAGAATCACTATCAAGAAGGTAACTAGAAAATCTTGGAAATTAAGTAATACATTTCTAAGTAATCTGCGAGTCCTAGAAGAAATGAAAGTGGAAATTAGAAAATATATTGAACTGAATAATAATGAACATACAACATAAAAACTCATCGGATGAGTAAAAGCCATATGTAGAGGGAAATTTATAGACTTAAATACACTTATTAGGAAAGAAGGAAGGCTGACAATCGGTGATCTAAGTGTTTAAATCAAGAAATAAGAAAAAGAACAACCCCCAAAAGTAGGAGGAACATAACAAAGGTAAGAGCAGAAATTAATTAAATAAAAACAAATGTATAATACAGATACACAACTAAACCAAAAGTTTTCTCCCTGAAAAAGCAAATAAAATTGATAAATCTTGGAAAACTGGACAAGGATTCGAGAGAGGTACAAATGACCAGTGACAGGAGTGAGAAAGGGGCATCTCTCCGGATCCTAGAGATGTCTGAAAAATATTAGGGCATTTCAATCCACTGTATTTGAGGGGCGGCTGAGCTGCATCTGCTGAGCGAGAACTCAGCCCAGCACCACACACACCCACAGTGCTCCACAGGCCCAAGCAGGGCCAAATGGCAGATGGAAGTGAAGGCCTGCATGCAAGCTATGTGTAAGGTGAGGAACTATGTGCACACTGTGTTAGGTGAGGGCCTGTGTGCACACTGTGTGTTAGGTGAGGACATGTGTGCACACTGTGTGTAAGGTGAGGAACTATGTGCACACTGTGTTAGGTGAGGGCCTGTGTGCACACTGTGTGTTAGGTGAGGACATGTGTGCACACTGTGTGTAAGGTGAGGAACTATGTGCACACTGTGTTAGGTAAGGGCCTGTGTGCACACTGTGTGTTAGGTGAGGACCTGTGCGCACACTGTGTGTTCGGTGAGGACATGTGCGCACACTGTGTGTTCGGTGAGGGCCTGTGTGCACACTGTGTGTTAGGTGAGGACCTGTGTGCACACTGTGTTAGGT